GACAAAAATTACGGAAGGTGAAAGCTACTTAATTTATATTTTTATTTAGATCTTTATATATTAAAATTCTGAACGATTCTGAACAAGAGTTCTTGAATTTAGGAACGAAAGGCGGCCAAGCTTGCCGAGGAACAGAATGAGGCCGCAGAAGCAGCTAAGAACCAGATTAATATGAAAGAGATTGAACGCAATGCAATTATAGAGTTAATTAAACCTATGGGATTAGTTATAGAGGAGGTGATACAATAAGATATTTATCTTTAACATTAGAATACGTTGATACTTATCTTTCATACATAATGATCATTTATTAGATACCAGCAAATGGTCATTGGTGAGCTTCCGAAAAACACGTTATTCTCGCTTAATTAACATGTGACCTCACTTGTTTTTGCGAATTTGACATTTTAGTCTTTATAATGCCATATCGGATCAGCTACAATTAAGGCACAATATTTTGGTATGAATTTATAATTAGCCATATAGGTTCAATTATTTATATATTTATTCTCGCTTCTGCAATGTTAGGTGAATTATAAAGAAGTAAGACATAAAGCTGCAATGTATATGCGACAACATCCTGATGATTTTCTGCCGTTTTTATCCAACACGGAAGACGGGGAAATATATAGTTTGGGTAGAGATCGTGTTTACACATGATTGAGATTATCAATTAACCTTTCTATTAAATAAACTACCGAATATCCATTTCTAACTGCGTATAATTTCAGAACAATTTCACAAATATTGTGATGAATTGGAAAAGACTGCAGTATGGGGTGGGGAACCAGAGGTACGTAGATTGAACAGTATTTGTTTTATCGTCGAGATTCTAACTAAAATATATACATTCCGATATAGATAATTGCAATCTCTAGAGTTTACAAAGTCCCTATACACATTGTACAAATGAGTTCACCGATTTTAAAAATGTCTGCTGATATATTTCTCGACAAGGATCCAATTTTCTTATCGTATCCTTTTAATAACTCTTACTCAGATATTCAGTAAAACAATCATTGTTATAAGCTAATTCCTTAATGTTAAACTTTAAAGATTTCATCGCCATATGTATGGATTGGGTTATCATTATAATTCACTTCGAACAGCATGATATAGAGAAAATTTTTAATTATTAAATTCTTTATTATAAATTATTTTGCAAGAGGCTATATGCATTCTACTGTTTTTAGTAGCTGAAGATTTAAATAATTGTTATTAATTGCAAGCAGGTATTTTATAAAGGTAAATTAATAAAATAAACATTTTCATACCGATAATGCTCTGATTTAAATGGACCATCTTGATTAATGCCCAAATACTCAGATTGATTTGGAGTAAGCTTAGTAAGTTTTACACCCAGCTTTTCGAGATGTGCTGCTGCAACTTCTTCATCGAGTTTCTTAGGTAGCATGTGAACACCAAGCGGATAGGATGAAGCGTCTGTCCAAAGAGCAATTTGAGCGAGTGCTTGATTCGTGAATGAATTACTCATTACAAAACTTGGATGCCCAGTTGCACAACCAAGATTAACCAATCTTCCTTCGGCAAGAAGGATGATACGTCGACCACTTTTCAGGGTATAACGATCGACTTGGGGCTTAATATTCACGTGAGCAATAGCGTTTTGCTTGAGCCAAGCGACATCAATTTCAATATCAAAATGCCCAATACTCAAATTTCAAATGACTCATTGTTAGTGAAAAGCATATACCAAATTGTAGAAGTATTTAATGTCTTTTAGTACATACTTGCAAACAATCGAATCGTCCTTCATTTGTTCAAAATGTCTGCCTAAGATAATATCGCGGTTACCAGTAGCCGTCACAAAAATATTTCCTTTCGAACATGCTTCTTCCATAGTTGTTACCTCGAAACCTTTTAAACTGCATATTAGTTTCACGATCTTTTATGAATAAAAATACAGTATATTATACCTTCCATAGCTGCTTGAAGAGCATTGATAGGGTCAATCTCAGTTATGATAACGCGGGCTCCCATACCGCGAAGAGCCGCCGAACAACCTTTACCGACATCACCATAACCAGCAACAACTGCAACTTTGCCTGCAATTTGTACATCAGTTGCTCGTTTGATGCCATCAATAAGAGACTCACGACACCCGTAAAGGTTATCGAATTTCGACTTTGTGACTGAATCATTTACATTAATGGCAGGAACCTTCAAAGTTCCTTCCTTGAGCATTTTATATAAGTGATGTACTCCAGTCGTGGTTTCTTCAGAAATGCCCTTTATATCTGAGTTATGATTAAATTAATGCCAGAATTGACATGTTTGTG